TATATACATATTTACATTTATTAAAGGAACGTACACAAAGTTGGAGGCACAGACGATGAAGTAGGAAGAGACACATTATTAGGGGATGATGATGTCACTGAGGCGTAGGCAGCCATGTTTTTGGCTGTATACGAGTACTTGTTGCCAAAGAGCACGGGCTCTTGAAACGCCACTGGTGATCAGCAATGAACTGTACTAGCCAACAAAACACATACGACATGCATCTAGCACTGCAAGATCTCCAAAGCCATGGCTTCATTGACAAACAGGTGCAAGCGGAAGGCTAAATATACGAAGAAGTGGGCGATCGGAAGAATTAAGCGTTTTGTAAGTGTGATTAACAAGAAGAGATGACGAATCGTCCGATGACAGCGGGGGCCACTGAACACGTATCCACACGATTGCCTCGTCATAGTTCGAACGACATAAAAATGGTGCCGCTCTTTCATCGATTTTACCAAAGCATTCGACTCTGACATAGCGACTGTGACAATATTTCGAGGACTCTGCCAGGACATACAGAGAGACATACGCTGGGCATTACCAGACCAGAGCAAGAGCTGCTCTCAATTTCTGTGTCGATCGCCGACCGACATTCTGACCGATCGGTTTCCTGTCAGGAAAGGGGTATAAGAAAGTTGTCATTGGTCCCCGTGTCATTTGATTCAACGCACTCAAAACGATTCAACTCCTGTGTTTCTTCTCGTTGGATTCGATTCATTCCTAACGTCATGAGAAACGCCTTATATCTCCGGAGGCATCTGCTCGACCAATCTACGATCATCTGCTGCAGACGAGAAAAAAGGAGTTATTGGCGAAACTCGGTTACTCTGCGAAACGGTAGAATCTGCGTCACACAGTCGTCGTTTGAACGACCGATATTCAGCAATCACACACTCACTGTGGACACACACAACAGGTGCTCCCCGTTCCTCCTTCTTTTGGATCTCCCTTCTACAGAATGGTCCTTGTAAGTCAGAGACTAACTCGTTTCCAATCTTCTTGGTACAGCCAAGGGCAGGTACAAATTGACGATGACCACTGTCCATCAGGGACCACCATATCGAACTACGATTTCATCCCGCAGCATCAATTAATCTTCACGTTTGTAACGAAACAACAGAAACAACGGCAAACAACGGTGAGCTTAGGCATGACCAACAAAGAATGAAGAGAATTTCGTTGAAACGCTCGGAAAGCGTTACAAACGAGCCTTTCCAAAGAGCTGAAAATCAACTAACAGGTATTAAAGTATCAATGATCGCTGTTAGTGAATAGACGGCACCACCACTAGGACTCTTTTTATCGTTTCATGAAAATAAATGATGGCAGATCAATGGCAACAAGGAGACATGGCGCTGGATGACGCCATCAAATGGACAAATATTTGCATTATTTACACTGTTATTCTTACGACTGATAAAAGTAACTGTCTTCAAAGCATAAGATTGCAATGTACCGTCTCTTACCATTCGATTTTTAAGCAATTACAAAAAAACAATCTTTCTGCCCAACCAGAGTCATTCTTATACTCTGCTATTAGAGTTACTGTTATTGTGATCTAATGCTCCACAATGCTCGAACAACAGAGTTGAAGATAGTACTCCAGCAAAGCTGCGTTTCAAACATTTGCTGGCGTCGCAACTATCTTCTGCCAATAAGAATAGCTTCGAGAGATATACAGGCAAACGACAAAGATATAATGGTTGTTATTATGCAAATCCATATGTCTGTTTAGTTACACTTACCCTCAAAATGTTTGAACGCCTTCACAACGGCAACATAACCTGCAGACGACACATTTTTGCTGTAGTCTCGAAACTAAATCAGAACTCATTGCCGCTCGTAGAACATAGGACCGCGAACTTACAGTAAGCAACAAACAGGTGCTCGAGGAAAGTTATACGACGGAGAGAAAACGAATGGGCTGCCTACAGCTCGATCAGTCTGGCATCTTGAAAACAGCTGTTCCGGTATCGAGGGAGTCGATGTCAGTCAAATCGCAAGCAACAAAGCAGAGATAATTGGCCAGAAGAATCAATGCGGATGGCAGCCTCCAGAGGGAAGAAAAACCTTGGAGGACGCATCGCAAAATCATTTGCCGTTAAGACTGTATGATCCCTTTGTAGGAATCGAATAACTGGGCCTACAAAATTTCTTCCCAAAAGAATTTTGCTGATCGTAAGAATCCGAAGCACAGTCGAAATGAATACTGAGATATCGGAGAAACCACTTGAAATAAGGAAACCAGACAGAGTACGAATAACCTTATTAATACGGCTTGTTGATATGCGATAATACCGGCAAATCCGGAGGGCAAATATATCATAATGCATACCCATTACCGATGTTCGACTATATGTAATAACTACACTGAAAATCTTTATTGAGAGAACAGATGAACAAATAAACCAAACTTATAATTTACAACGTTCGCGTTCCATTTCGTCGGGTGAGCCACCGTAGCCGCTTGCAGTACGCCTGACTAATCAGCTTAAGTAGGTTTCGCTAGCTGTGAACCACTCTACCACTGACCATATTGTAATGTATTGTAATAAGGTAATCGATTAGCGATCATCGGTTATATGGAGGTTGTAACGGAGTGCAGACGAGTGCAAAAATTAGCCTATGAAAAGATACATACTATCAAATATTTGAGGGTTGTAGTGCCGCACAGAAAAACAAGTACCCAAAGGCAAGTGGTAGAAGTAATCGGCAGACTGTACGCTGTTGTCTTATGTGCCTTGGCAATGATGCCCATTTTGCGGGTAGCATGGCAGCGCCGTGATAAAGGCGACATTAAAGAATGTGCTAGAAATACAACGGAGAATGGTATTCCAAAAGGAGAAAATAATATGTCCAAATTGAAAACAAGACCACCCATGCGTAAGGCATAAAATAGATTGTTTCCGCCACTAATTTTCAAATGAGTTCTATGAGGAATGAGGAAACGGAGGGCATGTGGAAAATTTTCAGTGGAACTTTCTCCGCTGTTGAATTTTCAAAGTATTCGCCCTTGACGATATCTATATATAGGCGGTGGCATAACAGGATGTACAGCAATACATTTCTGGCTCCGCCTTACCAGGCATTTATCGACGGCAAAAACGCCAGTAGCGCCGCTGACGCCTTACGACATACGCGTAAATCCGTGGAGGAAGTGTTCTTTTAGAGAGTAGCCGTGAAGGCCTTCCATCACTTAAAAAATGACCAACAAATGAAGTAACGATAACCAACTGCTAACGGAGAATCCCTCACACTTTTTGAGGAAAATTTTTAATTTGAGGTAAGACTCTGGATACAAGTCTTGATCAAGGATTAAAGATTTTTTTCATATTCGTTTCACCCGAACATAAGAAAACACGATGTTGTTTAACTCACTGGAAAGGAAAGGAAAAAAGAAACGGAAGAGAAAGCTAGTTAACCATGTGAAAGTTGGCTTTCCTTACATTTCTATGATAGCGCCGTTTTTGGCGTCAATCTCTGCATGAAGTTAAATATTAGGCATTCACCCATGCCATCAGCCAAGAGTGCCTTATTTGAAAGGCAGTGTCACAGCAGTTGTGTAACAAGCATAGTATGAAGTCTCCTGTTTCCGGCTCATACAGTTGCACTTGTTTACCTACCTCAGAAGGATGAAAGGCAAGTGATTCGACGGAGGTTCGAACCCGAGGCCGGTCAGTTTTGAGACTGACGCTCTACGTACTGAGCAACCGTGGTCTGAAGATAAATTGATAAATTTAAAATAACTGATAAACTGATCATTTTTTTCTCCAGGAACTTCGTTGTATTTATGGCAAAGATTGTTCCTCCGCCCGGAATCGAATCCAGCACTTCCGGAGGTCAAAGTCGACATCTTTGTCGGCACTGTGCTATTCTCTGGAGACCAAGAACGCTACTCATATAGCACTTGAACAAAAATGAAGTCGGTTCAACTTCAGTCAGCACGACATGAAGTGATCTCCTGTAAGGCTAGTGCATCAATCGCCTGTCGACCAGTTTTTTGACAAAGTGAGAAATCGCACATTTCGCACGTAAGTATAAAAAATTACTAAAACGCACTCGCGCCAAAAAATCGTTACCCTGCCGTTGCAAGTCTTGACTTGCTTCCTCCTCAAAAATCCTGACACCGCGATAGCCAAGAGAACTGATCCGGGTATTGACTAAAGACTGATGTGCTCATCTGGATCTATCAAACAGGCACAATCGTCGGACCTCACCCTGTACAGGTCCACTCACGACGTAAGCGCTTGTTTCGTGACATGGAGGGAAGCGAGTGATCGCAGTTCAACAACACATTCGACATCGGAAAATGAGGTTAAATCAATCGACGCATAATCCCAACGTCCGTCAACAGCACCCTACCTCATGTTTATGAAGGTAATACGGTAAGGGAGATTTACTGTGAGGTCAAAGTGACAGACGAAATGTGTACGTGACCTGTCGTTGAACAAAAGGAAATTTCTGATCTTACCGTTGTATGGCCGAGCAATCGTCGGCAAAACACAACAAGGAAG